CCAGTCATGTCTGTCCCGTCTGTAACAACCGAAAATAAAATAAAATAAATACATAATTATAATAAAGGTCAATCAAATGGACCAATATGACAAGGCCATGATGATCCACTTGGTAAATTAAATACACTTGGCATCTTTTTTGGCCCTCAGACAACAATTCTGATGGCTAAAGATCCAAATGGGACAGGCAAAAAAAAAAAGAAAGAAAGAAAACTTTTCAAAGCAAAATAACTGTTTTGTGTCTTTCAGGATCTTCAAATGAGACACGAGAGACACGTCTTTGTTATACAACAAGTAAATAAGTACATTATTTTCTCCTTGAATTTATTCATGCTGATGAAATCAGAATGTTAAGTGCATTACCTCAGCCACAGTTTGATATGTTTTCAGAAATATTCCTGCGTTTTCATTTCAGTTCAGAATTGCGGAAACATCCCTGTTATTGAAAATGCTTTTGCTCTGCAAACTTCACAATACTATTTGACATACCAATGCCAACGTTTGTACAGATTAGTGGGTCCAGAAACAGTGAAGTGTATCAGCAGTCGTATGTGGTCAGACTTACCTGAGTGCAGAGGTATAAACACATCAATGATAATCATTTTTATGGATCTCTTAAAGTGTTGGGGAGAAATTTAATTTAATGGTTGTTTCTTGTGTCCAGCTAAGTTCTGTGCTGTCAACACCAATGACAATCCTGAATACATATCTGTGGGAACTGTGTACATAGAAAATGGTGAGGAAGAGAGAGTGGAGTGTGTGAAACCACACAGCTGGTCGTTGGAACATTATACTATGGTTCGATGCATCAATGGAAGAGTGGAGGCAACTGAATGTAAGTATTACTGTAAACTCTCTATGTTTGAACGTGTCAGTCAGAAAAGAGTTTTCAGTCCTGTGTTGCCTACATGTTAACACGTTTTTATTACCTATAAGAAAGAAAACTTTTTAATAAATAAAACAACTGAACATGAATCGTTTTAATAACAATTACATTTTAAAAGATCTGAGCACTTAATGTCTCTCAGTGTCGTCATATCCAACCAAGCTTTTACAACTTTAAACTCCTTTAAACAGGCACAGAAAAAACTACAGCCACTCTGCTGATTCACTGATTCGTTGTTTCTACCTTAATTTGTTGTCACCAGAAGTACTGCACAGCCACCTGTCACACCTTGTAGTGTATGCTGCCGCCCTGACAGCTTTCCTTTCCCTGCACTAATGCCTGTGATGTGGAAATTATTAAAATGACTAACACATATTTTTCCCCATCTGCTTTTAAGCCTGAAATTATCCTTGGCATTTCCACTTGGCAATTTCTAGTGGAAATCACAATAGATCTTATAGACTCTATTAATATGTATCTCTTTAATCAGAATCAGAAATACTTTATTAATCCTGAAGGAAATTATGGGTTACAGCAGACAGCGTGCTGGTTGGCATGCGCACTCACAAAGGAACCCTGCGACCAAACATACTTACACAACATCACATTGGGGAGACAGGTCAGAGCGGTAGGCTGATAAGAAAAATAACGAAAATACACAACATGAAGTAAGAGGAGGAGATAAAAGCTCCATCCAGACTGAGCTCCTGAGGGGAGAACAGTTTGAGAACAGAAAAAAACACCTCAGCACAAAAGCACATGAATTGTAATACACCATAGAAGCACATGGCAAGCAACAGGGGTGGGTAAGGGGTGAGAGTAAGCCAGTGTAGACAGCGCATCTGGTCCTGCAGCATGCGCTGGGCCCAGACCCGCCGTCTGAGCTCGGCCTTGGAGATAAGCATCCGAAGTCGTTTGGAATACAGAATGGGGGACACGGGATGGGGACGAAGAGTCTAAATAGAGTCTGTTATCAGAGAGAGTGTTTTTTGATGTTCAGCTCCAGCTGTGAGGCCACAGCTGGCACCGATATGGTAGACGCATGAAATGATGGTGGTTTCCTTTAGTGCAAACAACTGCATGTTAATTTTACAGTCGATCTAAATGTCCGTCACTGGTCTCTCAATCTCCCGTTGGAGAGCCGTGAGCTTCTCAGAGATGTTATCAATTTTGCGCTCAAAGAGCATACTCTAAGTGCCCACAACAGCATCAAGCTTCTCTTGATCTTATCCATGCCGCGTTTGATGAGCACATTTTGAGAAGTCACAACTTGTGCCACGGTTTCAATCACAGCGGGCAGCCTTGTGGGGTTTTGATCAGCCATTTCCGCTTTCTTCAATTCCCGATAAGCTAGGGCCAAGCCAGCTCCGATCAGCAAGAACCCCGTTATCATGCTTCCGAAAAGGCAGATGTCTTCAATGTCCTCAATCGACAGTCCCGCCAGGCACACGACCCTCCAGTTCCTCCACCCATCCATTGTGTATCCGGCCGGGATCGTCCCTCCAGGACACTCGGGCTCACCCGAGCCCAGGCTTCTCATTGAAAGGAGAGTGTGAATTGCATTTAGGGACCAGTTGATCAAATCTATAATTCCTCTTTAAAGGTTTTAACATATGCAGAAAGGCTTTAAACAGAGTTTACTGTGTGATCACCTTTAATGAGGCTGATAAATATGTTGTTTACTTTGTGCCTCGTGTAAACACAGGGGACTATTTAGTAAACAACCATATCCACTTCTATCGAAACTTCTGCCTCATGCAGTGATTTAAACTGTATCCCAGTAAAGTCGATTAAACAAAATATTAAACCTGATGAAAGCTGCCAGCAGCTTGTAGACATGTAGAAAACTGAACACACCTCATCTGCAAATGTTAAGTCACTGAAGTGTTCACACTGAGCTTCTGCATCACTGTTTACAGGTTGTAACTGGATGGAACATAAAGCGGTGAGTGTTCCTCTTTAAAAGAAATGCTGTTATTGATCTGATCTGTCATTTAACGATGTTTCAATTGAAGAATCACAACTTGATTTTTATGCTTAGTTTTCACAATTTGTTTATTTTCTCCTTTGGTTTTTACATTTTAAAAATTGTATTATATTTGTAATTTATTCATAAAACATCTGTTCTTCTAACCAGAGAGGTCTATTGTGTGACTAAACCTGTAGCTGAGGATTTGCTCAGCACTTTGGAGCTTTTAAAGGAGGAACCTGACTTATGATCGCATCGTCACAGCCTGTGTTAGCTTTTCATTTTCATCTTCAAAAATTTAAGAGAAAATGGTTTGTGTGCTCTTATTTGAGACACAAACACCACCAAACTGAATAAAGTCTCAGATTTTACCATCAAAACTGCTCCTGCTTTGTCTGTGTGTTTTATTTGTTTAGTATTTGAAGAGCACTGATTTAAACCTAGCTGTTGTCAAGTTTATATAATGGATTGTCATTTATGCTTAGAACTATTTACTCATATATGCTTAGAGTTTTATAATTAGTTGTAGATTGGTAGAGGTTTGATCCTTAGTAGTCTGTGGAGACTCTGTGTGCCTCCCAGAGCACTCTGGCATGCAATCACAACTTAAGGTCAGGAGAGAAGTTATATCTGCTCTTACTGATTTATAGGAGGACACCTACTCTGTATCTGGTTAAGTATAAGAGCCTTTTGTGTAGATAGACCGCTAGACTCCTGGCACCAGCTTTGGGGAGTCTTCACAGGTTCACATCTTGACCGGAACGACATCTGACTCCGGTCCGGTCTCCCTCATGCATGAGTAACACAAAGAACTTTGCCTACTTGGTGTTCAATGCTTTTGCTGTGTAGTTAAATTGTCTCGTTCCAGCAGTGGGCCTGTGCTAGACAGACCCATCAGCTGTCCTGTTCAGGGTGACAAGTTGCTGAAAGTTCTCACATGTGGTTTATTTTCTGGATCCTCCAGACAGTCATGCACCTATAATCTCACACATTTCTTTCTTCTCACTCGTTTTTGCAGTTTTGATTTATTGATCATGGCAAAAAGTTTGAGAAAAACTTCATCACTTTTTCCAAATATGAGGAATATTTAAAATATCGAAATGTCAAACAGTTCCGACCAAAGTTACAGGAAAAGCCTCATAAAAACAACATTTTATTGTACACACACACTTGCATATAAATAAAAGAATTCACCTCTCGCCCTGCGGGAGGTCTATTCTTCAAGCTTGGGTCTTCTACCAGAGGCCTGGGAGCTTAGGGGTCCTGCGCAGTATCT